TGTGTGTGTGTGTGTGTGTGTGTGTGTGTGTGTGTGTGTGTGTGTGTATATATATGTATGTGTATATATATATATATACACACATACACAAAACGTGTGCAAATAAATACATGAATGTAAATATACACACATAAAAAAGAGAGGGATTCTTTGAGGAGAAAAGGAAGGAGTGCATTCCAGGCAAAGAGGATGGTCAGTGCAAAGGTATAGAGATAAGAGATGTGTGTTAGGAACTGAGAAAAGGTCAGTCTGGCTTGGGTTCCAGAAATGAGAAAGGGGAGTCATGTCCAAAGAGGCTGACAAGATAGGTTGGATTAGGCTCTAAAAGCTTATAATAGATCTTAGAGGCAACAGAAAGCCAATGAAGTTGAGTAGGGGAGTTGCATGATCAGATTTATGCTTAAGGAAGATCATTTTGGCAGCAGCGGCCTAGTGGTGACAGACTTGAGGCAGGAAGACCAATTAAGAAAGAGCCTGTTCCAATAATCTATATGAGAGGGGATGAGGACCCGAAGTAAGGTTACAAAAATCACTTCGTGAGTGGAGTGGAATCAGATGTGAGCAATGTTTTGAAGACAGAAAATGGCTAGATCTGGCAACTGATTAATTATGTGAGATGAGGGAGAGTCAGGATTCAAAGTAAGAACTCAAGACACTAGAAATAGAGAGGTCTGGAAAAAAGATAGGGTTTTGGGGAGGGAGGGAAGATCATGAGTTCAGTTTCAGACAGATAAGAGTTTAAGATGTTTCCAGGATATCCAGTTTGAAAGATCCAATACTACTGGTGATATGGGACTGAAGTTCAGGAAGAGACTGGGGATTACGTAGATCTGGGAGACGTCTGCATAATGACAGTTAAACCCAACGGAGCTGATAAGGTTACAAGAGAGAGCACAGAGGGAGAAGAGGGTCCAGGAGAGAGCATGAGGTGGATGACAATCTCCTCCCTCCAAAAGGGAGATCCATCAGGAGAAGCAAACCCAGTCAAGAAAACCCAGAGGGAAAAGGTATTCCAGAAGTTACAAGGTAGTCAACATTGTCAAATGCAGTAGACAGGTCAGGAAGGATTAGGTTTGAGAAAGGCTCTTCCTATTTGTTAATTAAGAGATCACTGGTACTTTGAAGACAGCAGTTTATTAGGCTGAAAGCTAGATTGCAAAGGGTTGAGGAAAGAGGAAGAGGCAAGGAAGTAGAGGCAGCTACTGTAAAGAACTTTGGCTGAGAAAGGGAGGAAAGCTATGGGATGATAGCTTGTGGGGATGGCATTTTTTAAGTGAAGGATTAGTGAAGGATTTTTTAAGGGTGATGGAGGCTCAGGTATGTTTGAAGGGAGGGGAAAAAACAATTGTTAGAGACAGGTTGAAGTTTTAAGAGAGAAGTGGGATGAAGGAGGATGCAATCTGCTAGAGAAAAAGGTGTTAGCCTTGGCAAAGAGAAAATGAGGGCCACCTCACTGTCAGAGACTGGGGGAAAGGCGGAGAGAGTGGGAGATGATGTGAAGGGGTTTTGAGATGAAGAGAGTGGAAGAGGAGAGAGCACATGCCAACATAAGCATATTCAAATAAATATAAACACAAAGTAATTTTCTTGTGGGGAAGGCACTAGCAACAGGCAGAAAAGGCTTCAGGTAGGAGACGGTGGGTTGGGCTTTGGAGGAAGCTAGGGTTTCTAAGAGACAAAGGTGAAGAAGGTTTGCATTCCAGATATGGGTAACAGTTTATGAAAAATATGGGGATGGAATAGTATTCATAAGGAAGAGGAAGACCAGTTTGACAGGCCCATGTAGTATAGAAAGAAAGTAATGTGTAAGAAGGTTGGAAATGTAAGTTAGAATCAAGTTGTGATAAGCTCTAGATGCAAAACAGAGGAGTTTGTATTTTATCCTAGAGGCAAGAGGGAGGCACTGAAGATTATTGAGCAGGAGAGTAAAGATTGCCAGACCTGCGCTTTTTGAATATCACTTCGGCAAACGTGGGGAGGATGGATTAGAGGGGGAAGAAAACTGAAGGAAACTAGTAAGCAGACCACTGCAAGAGTCCAGGGGACAGGTGATTGAACTAAGGTGATGATCCTATAAACAAAGGCAAACAGATGTGAGAGATACTGTGGTGATGTAATCAACAAGAATTGGCAACTAACAAGAAATGTGGAATGAGTAAGACCGAGAGGAGTCCAGGATGACACCAAGGTTGTGAACCTGGGTAACTAGGAAAACAGTGATATCTTCAATAAAAATGGGGAAGTCTGGAAAAGGGGTAACTTGAGGGGTGGTGGTGATGAAAATAACGAGTTCTATTTTGGACATATTGAGTTTGAGATTCCCATGGGGCATCCATTTCAAAATGTCCAATAGGCAGTTGGTAACATGGGGCTTTATATATAGACCTGGAAGTCATCTGAAATGAGATGATAATTGAACCCACGGGAGCTGATTAGGTAATAGAGATTATAGGGATGGAATAAAAACAGATCCAGGACAGAACCTTAGCCTACAATGACAGCTAGCATGTGGGACAGAATGCTGCATCAGCAAAGCAGACTGAGACCATATTACCTAATAAAGTATGTTACAGAGACAGCATGAAATCAAGAGATCTAGGTAGTTGATCCAGCCCTACTGTCTACTAGCTGTGACACTGAGCAAGTCACTTTACCTCAGTTTCCTCACTTGTAAAAAAGACATAGCCACTAGCTGCATTGTCTTATTCATAGTTATTGTGGAGAAAGTACTTTGTAAACCTTAAAGCACTATATAAAATGTAAAATTAATATTTTTACTTGATACATTTATGGTCTTATTAATGTGGATTCTATCTCTACTGGCATAGATCCTAACAAATCCATGCCTTATCTTGTGTGATTTTTGTCCACGTCCATCCAAAAATCTTTCATACAGGGACAATCCAATGCAATGGAGTTCTCCCTTTTAAGTTTTAATAGCTCGTGGATACCAATGCACATTCAGGCTGTTATCCTAACCACTTGATATATGACTGATCAACCTTCTTCTCCTTTTCCTCTTATTAATGTCTTTGATATGTCTTATGATACTTATTATACACAAGTTATCATTAGCAATATGTTGAAACTTAGTTATATATAATACATAATATATAACATATATTACATTGTTCAGTTGTTTTCAGTCATGTCCAACTGGCAAAAATATTGGAGTGGCTTGGCATTTCCTTCTCTAGCTCATTTGACAAAGAAAACTAAGGCTAATAGGGTTAAGTGACTTGTCCAGGGTCACACAACTAGTATGTGTCTGAGGTCATATTTGAACTCAGGAAGATGAGTATTCCTGACTGTAGGACCAGCACTCTATCCACTATGCCTCATAGCTGTCCATATATATCATGTATGTTGCAAGACCTTGTTTCCACAGTTCTTGGGGTCATCAGAAATTCTTAAAAGCGGCAGCTAGGTGGGACAGTGGATGGCGCTGGACCCAAGTCCTGAGTTGAAATATATCAACAAACTTTTTTTTGGGGGGGGGGCAGGCAATGGGGTTAAGTGACTTGCCCAGGGTCACACAGCTAGTGAGTGTTAGGTGTCTGAGGCCGCATTTGAACTCAGGTCCTCCTGAATCCAGGGCCCCTGCTCTATCCACTTCGCCACCTAGCTGCCCCATCCACAAACTAAATAGCTGTGTGACCCTGGGTAAGTCATTTAACCTGACTTTTCTTCCTTCCCCTACCTCCCAGGGTCGTGAGAATCAAATGAGATAATATTTACAAACTGTTCTGCAAAGCTTAACGCACTAGAGGAAAGTTATTACTATTATTTCTTGCATTAAATTCATTGTCACTATACTATCATTCCATGGAACATCAGCTGAGCAGTAGGTTTGATCCAGAAAGGATCCTCATAAATCATCTATCTAGTCCAAGCTCTTTTTTTTTTCTTTAAATAAATGAGGAAACTACGTCCCAGGGTAGTGAACCGACTCGACCAAAGCCGCAATGGTTGTAAGAGTCAGAGGAAGGATTTGAACTCAAGGACTCTGACTCCAGAGCGAGCTCTCTTCCTGCAGTAAGGTATCAAGCGGGGGCACGCTTCTACAGGGGTCAAAGGCGACGATCGCGTCCTCCGCATGGGGCGCATGTGCAGAAGAGGAAAGAGGGGCGGTGAGACAAGAGAGTGGCCACGCCTCCCCTCTCTCCTCCTGGGAAACGGTCGGTCCTTCCAGGGACAGGGCTCCGCCTCCAGGGGAGGAGTTCCGGAAGTCAGGAAGGGAGTGTTAGTCCCCAGAACACGTGTCCTCAACCCTGTCCCCAGGCCCAAGCGTTCCTAGCTGCCGGGGGTGAGTCATGGTGTCCTCCTCGCCCAGCGCCCCTTACTCACCAATTACTCCGTCTCTGTCTTCTATGATCACTGTGCTCACACTGCCGGGGCTCGGGATCTGCACCCGGTTCCAGGGCTCCCACTCCAGGCAAGGCGCCGCTGAAGCCATCTTGGAAGAGAGAAGGAAGGAGGGGATGGGGGCGGAGCTAGGATGAGACCAAATCAAGCGAGGGAGGGGGAGGAGGATCCAAGCTGAGGGCCCAGGAGAGACCAAATCCGAGAATGGGGGAGTCCGCTTTACAAGTGAAGAGGAAGCCAGTGCAAGGTCGGGGATTAATTTTTTTTAAGCTCGGATCTGACCGTGTGGATCCCCAGTGCAACCATTTCCAGTGGTGTCTGCTCTAAAACATAAACTACTGTAGTTAACTTTTAAAGCGGAATGCAACCTGATGCTATCCAACACACACACACACACAC